TGACATGCAGATGTCAAAAGAAAACTTTAACTTCTGAGGAAAATTAATCTTAAAGAATTGGTAGGGTGGCAGGTAAAAAGTCACAGTTCCTTGTAATACTGCTACTGCACAACAGTGATGCTAGTAAACATTAGAGTAAATGAGGGAGCAAGAAGAGCAGGGTAGGACTTGAGCTCCCAAGAAAGGGTAATGAAGACATACATAGAGGGAATCTAGAGCTGGCTGGTTAGATTAGTTGATTAGAGCGTGGTGCTGATAGCACCACGGTCCAGGGTTCAATCCCTGTACTAGCCCACAACAACAAAAAAAAAAAAAAAAACTTACACAGTTTCTTACTATTTAACATTGTAATTTCAAAATGATGGTAGAGTAAACTTCAATTTCTTCTAGAACAGCAGTCAGCGCGAGTTGCGATCCGTTGCCGGACACCGAAAAAGACAAAAAGGAAAAAAAAAAAAACAATAGAGGAAATCAACCAAACGAAAAGTTGATTCTTTAAAAAGATCAACAAAATTTGCAAACCTTTATCTAGACTGACCCAGAAAAGGAGACCATAATTACTAAAATCAGAAATATAGCAGGGGCATTATTGCATGGTCATTATAGTTTGTTGTAGTAAGACTTAGTTTCTTTTTCTTATTTACATTTTTGTTCTACCAGTGGTTTTTGTTCTTTTTATGTATTCATGGTAGCGATTATTGTTTTTCAGATTCCAGATGCAGGACTTCCTTGAGGATTTCTTGTCGGGCTGGTCATGTGGTAGTAAACTCCTGCAGTTTTTGTTTGTCTGGAAAGTACACTATTTTTCACTCCTTTCTGAAGGATGGCCTTGCTGGGTACAGAACTAATGGCTGGCAGGTTTTTTCCTTTTAGTATTTTGAATACATCATCCCATTTTCTTCTGGTCTGTAGAGTTTCTATTCGGAAGCTTACTGTTAGTCTGATAAGGGCTCCCTTGGAGGTGACTTGATGCTATTCTCTTGCTTCTTTTAAGATTCTCTCTTTGTCTTTGAGCTTTTAATGACTATAATGTGTCCTGCAGATCTTTTTGGGTGAAATCTGTTTGGGGATCTTTGAGACTACTGGACCTGAAGGTCTTTGTCTCTCCTTATACCTGGGAAGTTTTTCATTATTATTTTGTTAAATAGCTTTGCCATGCTTTTCCTTTCTCCTCCCCTTCTGGAACAGTCATGATTCAAATGTTTGTGCACTTAAGGTTGTCTGCTAGCTCTCTTAGATTTTCTTCATTTTTTAAAATGCTTTTTTCCATTTTTTGTCCACTTGGGTTATTTTGAAAAGACTATCTTCAAGATCAGAAATTCTTTCGTCTGCTTGTTACAGCCTGCTGCTTAAGCTATCAGTTGTGTTTTTTATTTCATTGAGTGAATCTTTCAGTTCCATGAGCTCTGCTGCATTCTTTTTTAAGGCAGTAATTGTTTTGTAAATTTTTTCCTTCATATCCTGGATTTTTTTTTGTTTCATTATGTTGTCTGAGTCTTCTTGTATCTCAGTGAGTTTCCATAAGATTGTTGCTTAGAATTCCTTTTCAGTCGTTTCAAGGGTTTCCTACTCTATAGGGTCTGGTATTTGAGAATTACTGTATTCTTTTGGTAGTCTCATATTTTCTTGGGTTTTCGTATTTGTGGTATCTCTATGTTGATGTCTGATCATCTGGTAAAAGTTTCTTCTTCTGTTACTATGGAGTGGACTTTGAGAAGAGAGATGTCCTCTTCTTTTTCTGATCTCTGCTGGTGACTCTCCTTGTATCAGTGCGGTCGAGTGTCCAGTGGGCCACCTGAATGGTGGCAGTGGCTGCTGCTGTGGCATCAAGCCACATTTTTGGCAGCCATGGCTGTGGCAGTGGCTGTGATGGGCTACCCGTGTGGAAGTGGTGTTTTCTGCATGCTTTCTTGCCTGTTTTTGGGCAGTGGGTACTGCCCTTGGTTCCTTGCTTAGGACCTCAGGCATGCTCTCTTGTCTGTTTCCAGGCAAAGGGAGCTGCAGCCCTTGGCTCCTTGCCTAGGACCCTCGTCATGCTCTCTTGCCTGCTGCCAAGTAAGATTTTTAGACAAGAAAAATGCTTCTTTAAATCCTTTTGGGGACAAGGCTAGGTATAACTAAATATTAAAACAAATTGTTTTAAATAACATTCATTCTCTGAAAAACAGCTTTATGTAATTGTGTAAAGTCTTTTAAAGGATATTTAGCTAGTACCAAATAAACATAACATTGACTAACCACTAGAATTTTAGAAAATCTCCCATATTAAAGACTCACGACTGTTATATTTAAAAAATAAGCTTGTCTGAACTGGAAGTCGAATAGATTCTAATAAAGACTGTACAGTCCTGGCCAGGTCACTTCTGAGACTGTATCTTATCTTTATAATGTAGGTAAATATAATTTACCTCATGGGGTTGTTAGGATAAGTAAAATATATAAAACACACAGCTAGTCAGTAAGCATTTCATTAATATACATTCATTTTTCTCATTCTGTCATAACTTGAAAGTGAACTTGAGCTTGTAGATGAACTCTGAACCCTGTCCTTTGTACATCTTAACCTTTGTTGTGTTATAGAGGAGGGTTCCAAACTCATTATTACATATTTTTATTTTTCACTATATAATCTTTCTGTGGTTTTTTATTAATGCTTTTTTTTAGTAGTTTGTGTCAAAACTGTGCAAGACACGTTTTACAAACATATCTGTTCTTCTTTACATTTCTGTAAGGGAGAGAGTGTTGTCTCCTTTCTACAACTCAGGAAACTGAGGCTCTGAGACCTATGACCTGATAAGTGTCATCCAGTTAATAAGTGACAGAAGCTATGATATGAACTTGGGGAATCCTGATACCACATCCATTGCCTTTTCTGCTATATCATCCCTACTTCACATTACACAAATCGTCTTATGTTGGCATCTTATTTGTGCTGTTGCTGTATTGATCTATTTGAAAATAGAGTTTAATAGAACCCCTAAAATATTAAAAATTGACTCTATTTGCTGTTTTCCAGATTATACTACCTATTACTTCAGCTTTGTTTTTGAAACTAACATAAATCTAATCGTTAGATGACATCAGAACATAATAAAAATTAATTTATTTCTCTGAAAAACTAATTAATGGACACTACCAGCCAAGACTAACTCCAGTTGTTGGTTTTTCTCATAATATCCTCATTAAGAATATATAATTAGACCAACCACATGTTATTAACAGACAAATAGAAATATGTGTTTGAAATATCCATTTTTTTTCTTTTTTAATTCCCTCTCTAAGGTCTACTTAGTATGCAATAGAATAAGAACAGTTTACTAAAATCCAAGCATTATCCTTAATATTGCGTTTCTTTGATTTTTTTTTTTTTAGGCTTATAGGTTAGAACCATTAATACTGAAACACTACAGCAACATTTCACCTGTCCAGATCCACTGGTACAACACTTCAAATCCTCTACCTTATGAGCATATGAAGCCAAGCTTTCTCAACCCAGCAAAAGAACCTACCTCAATTTTAGAGAATGAAGGCATTTCAACTATGCCAAGCCCTGTGACCTCACCAGTCTTGTCCCGCCGACACTATGGGGAATCTATAACGAATATAGGCAAAGCAAGCATATTAGGTAATTTCTCTTAAGCATTCCTTATCTATGAATATAAGCACTTTTTGTATATCTATGAGTATAAGCACTTTTTGTATATGAATATAAGCACTTTTTGTACATTGGGGGACTTGGAAAGACTTTATTACAAAACTTCAATGTTTAATCCCCATGTCTAGAATTAACTACCCTCTTCTCTGTTCATATTTGAAGACCAGAAAACTTTAACATGCTCTGATTAGATCAGATCCTCTAGTTGTAGAATATGAGATAGCTGGATGGAACACAAATAGCATTGTTCTGAAAATCAAGTCCCTCAATTTGATCTTACTGTGAGATCTATAGCAAATCGCATACTTTGTAATGCTCTACTTCCTCATCTGTGAAATGAGAGAGTGCTTGTGTTCTAAGGGTGCCCCCCCGAACCAGTTCTCTGATCTGTTTTAAATGTCTCTCAAACTGTGTGTTTCCGAGGGCAACAGGGGTATTTAATTTCTGTTTAAGTAATCTCCAGTACTAGCACAATGTTTGGTGTATCCCTGGAACTCAATTATGCACAACTTGAATTTGTCTGTTGCTTTTTGTTACAAGTTGCCTTCATAAAAAATGCCACAAGATGGCACTATAAATAGGCTTTATCTGCTGGACTCATTTGATATTTCACTTCTTCATACTCACAGACTGCTTATTGATGGCTTTTTATATCATATCCACTTAACTTCAGTGCTAAGTATATCAGTAGTAAATATATACCCATGTCAATGGCGTGGGTTCTTTTATTAACGGTTTTAATCTTGCCAAATATTTTAATAAACAGTGATCACATGAATAGAATAAACTCTTTATTCCTTTGTTTGTATATTTCTATAAGCTACTTCCTAGAGTTTATAAGTTCTCATTCTATTCAACGCCATTTTTATTTAGAAATCTACAATATAAATTGTAATTTTCTTATGTTCCCACCCTGGAAAAACATGACTAGGGCTTGGTCCCTCTGCCAATTGGCTGTAATTATGGGTGGTGCTCTTTAGCCTGGTGTGTGGTATGATTCAACAGAATGACTGCCCTGTTTTGTGAAATACAGGGGCTGCTAGCATTGGAAAGGGACTTGGAGGAATGTTGTTCTCAAGATTTGGACGTTCACCTGCATCACAGCCATCTGAGACATCAAAAGACTCAATGGAAGATGAGAAGAAGCCAGTTGCCCTGCCTCCTACTACCACTGTGGCAACACAGACCCTTCCACACAGCAGTTCTGGCTTTCTTGATTCTGCATGTTAGTTCATACAGTTCTTTCCTTAAGTTTATACTGTATCTTTTTAAAAATTGGGGCAGGCAGGGAGGTTTCAGATAGTAAACTAGCAGTCAAATCTAAGATCTAAGCATACCTTAGTTTTTAAACTTTCCTTCTGCATACATTTTTAAGAATAATTGCCAATTAAATGTAGTTTTTACTCTCTGCATTGGGAATTAATAATTAGAACATTAATAATCAGGGCCTTGTGGCACAGGGGTCTTAAACATCAAGCATAAAACATATCTCTTTTGGGTAAGTACCCCCTGATTTTTACAAAATAGATTTTTGTTAATATGGTCTTCTGAGACTTAAAAATTCAGGTAATTGCTTCAAATCTGTGCTGTATCCGATCTTGAGACTTTTAAAACCGCTATGCCAAAGCCATCCTACTTCTAATCCCACAGTTTGCTTCCTCCAACCTAATTATAAAAACTTCAAAGCCTTAGAAATTTTATTGGATCCAGTGTATGGCTCCCAATCCTATCCTAGCTACCTGGTGTAAAGTAGGTATTCAAAAAATGAGTGAATGAATGGATAGTTATGTTGGACCTAGCATTAAAATGGAGCTTTATTTAACTTTTTCTAGTGGACTTATAAAGTTTAAAATCTCAAATAGTTATGAAACACTAATATAGTTAGTATATATTTACTTCCAAGGGACTAAACTTGAAGATTATTTAAAACTATTAAATCCTAGTTTTCTACTGATGTATGTAAAGAAATAGAGATTCTGAAACTAGGTATTCCCTTTCTGTAACTATAGCAGGAGGAAAAGTTTGCTTTCTTTCTCTAAAACTTTTTATAGAGATTTCATTTCAGTTATTTGTAGTATTGTGTTCATACTGTATCTGCTACTCTTAAGTTTTAATATGACTGGCAATCATTGCCATCCATAAAACTTCCTTAATTCATGTATGATGGCCCTAGAAACTGGATATTTACTCCACAGTCAACCCCACTCCAGGATGAATTACCGATAGGGCTGGACATTCCTGTTTGGGCCAACAGCATTTTTTATTTAATGCTATCTGTGCCAGATTCTGCCTACTGAATTTTTTGTAATTGCAAGTCTTTTGAATACTATCTAGAAAATTCTTTTTAGACTTTGATATTGTACAAAACTTATATTTTGGTTTCCCTACAAGAGTTCCTATATTATTGCTGACTTAAGTTCTCTTCTCTACTTAATACCAAAACTGTGATTGTGAAAATACAAAATTCCATTGTGACATGCAGATGTCAAAAGAAAACTTTAACTTCTGAGGAAAATTAATCTTAAAGAATTGGTAGGGTGGCAGGTAAAAAGTCACAGTTCCTTGTAATACTGCTACTGCACAACAGTGATGCTAGTAAACATTAGAGTAAATGAGGGAGCAAGAAGAGCAGGGTAGGACTTGAGCTCCCAAGAAAGGGTAATGAAGACATACATTGCTAGTAAACATTAGAGTAAATGAGGGAGCAAGAAGAGCAGGGTAGGACTTGAGCTCCCAAAAAAGGGTAATGAAGACATACATAGAGAGAGGGAATCTAGAGCTGGCTGGTTAGATTAGTTGATTAGAGCGTGGTGCTGATAGCACCACGGTCCAGGGTTCAATCCCTGTACTAGCCCACAACAACAAAAAAAAAAAAAAAAACTTACACAGTTTCTTACTATTTAACATTGTAATTTCAAAATGATGGTAGAGTAAACTTCAATTTCTTCTAGAACAGCAGTCAGTAGAGGTGCTTAGCTGTATTGCATCGTTGTTATTTTGATGGCTTAACAAATACATATCATGTCATTCTTGCATATAAATTCTTTGCTGGTAAATATCTTGTCATGTATAGACTCAACTAAATATGAGGTAATCATGAGTCTTAGTTACATATATTTGTCTCTAGATATAGACATAACTATTAAAATTGGACTACTACTGCAATAAGATTCTGCCTTTAAAACAAATCCCCAAGATTTGCCTTACTAATTCTTTGACTTGCTTCGATAATGTATTCTTCTATGTAATCCAGATTTAGACAAATTTCTTACGTCATAATTGCTATCTCGGCTATCTTGCAAATCATAAAACTTTTTACAGTCTTCTTTCTGGAAATTGGTCACTGTGATTAGGTAATTCTGGCTTCCTTCCTTTCTTCTTTCCATTCACATTGATTGGCCTAATTTCTCCTGGATAACCTTTATTCTGCAGCTACCAACTTTGATTCTTTCGCTATTGAGGGTAAGATGGACACAGACTTTGAATTCATGATCAGGGTTTCTTTTGAAATCTTTATTTTCATCAAGTTGAAACATTTTACATAGCTATTCTTCATCTCTTTTGAAAAGTCTAGGCTTCTTTTCAGTGATGTTACTGTTTCATTTCTTGTTCCTGCCACCACCCCCATGTTTATAACATATTACAAAAAGAAAAGATGTTTCTTTTAGAATTGTTTTGTCTCTAGATTAAAATGTAAATTAGCTATAAATTTAGGGGATATCTGGGTGTTAACAAATTATGATGTCATATTTCAAAATTAATTATGCTTACATTTTCCATGAAAGAGCTACTCACAAAAACCAAGGTGTGTGCTTCTTTATATATGTTAAATTGAACCAGCTTATTTGATAATATTGTTCTAACTTTTGGCCCCTGTATCATTGAAGGCCATTTTTAACCATTAGCCAACCCTTTACAGTGTCTTGTGTTTTTTTTTCACAGATTTCAGACTTCAGGAATCGTTCTTTAATCTCCCACAACTTCTTTTTCCGGAAAATGTAATACAGAATAAAGATAATACCCTCGGTATGGTATATGTCAGGGATAGCATTCAGAATACTATGAAAATGATCTTAGAGTTCTTCCGCTCCTTGAAAAATTGGACCACTTCTTCTATGAGATCTGCTTTAATGTTAGCACTACAGACTACTTTATATGTACTTTCCTCTCATATTTTCTAATCTTAAATAGTAGTAGTCCTGAAACCCAAATGTTGATTAGTCACTTAATACACTAAAATATATGATATTCCTCTCCACTCCTACAAATAAGGAACCTTTTAGAGAGGAGAGAAGCATTAGGCCATTTTCTTTCTTTATTCTAAAAGCTTCAATAAGGTTCACTGTTCTTTTCATGTAATACACTTAGTTGTGAAGGGTTTCATCATACAAAGAATTTATCATTCCTGGTTATTTCAGATAACAGTAACATTACCACTTCAGGTTGTAGGTGTGCCATAGCTCATACCTGGTTTCAACACAAATATTTAATGTACTTTAGGGGGTGGATTCACTTTAGAAATAGTGTTATTGGATGCAAGTGATATTCTAATCTCTTAATTTTCAGCACATTCTAAATGTGTCACTAAAGACTATTAGCAGTTTTAAATTATTTTTATGACTAACTTCTCATTCCTTTTTCACAGCTCTCTTTTCCTTTTTTTTTTTTTAATATTGGATTTTGTTTTTGACAAAAACATGCTACAGGTTTTTCTTTGGGATTTTTAACCACATTTAATTTTAGTTTATTTGATTGCCAATTTTCATAATTTTTTTCAGTTTTCAAAAAAATTCTCTCATATTACTTGATACAAGTTCCAAAACAATGTTTTAGTGTAACAAGCTGTGTTTTCGACTTCATAGCAACAGTTTTTGATGATCTAACTGAGTTAATTCCCTTAAGAAATGATCTTATGGGCCGGCCTGGTGGCGCACTCGGTAGAGTGCAGCGCTTGGGAGCGCGGCGTCACTCCTGCCGAGGGTTCGGATCCCATATAGATACCGGTCCGCTCACTGGTTGAGCGCGGTGCAGGCGCGACACTGAGGGTTGCGATCTCGTTGCCGGTCGCGGTGTGGGCGCGACACTGAGGGTTGCGATCCCATTACCGGTCACGAAAAAAGACAAAAAGGAAAAAAAAAAAAAAGAAATGATCTTATATAAGTGCTCTCTTTGGTTTTTGCCCATATAATAGCCAGTCACTTCCATAAAGAAATAATTTGATTTATTCTTTTTGTGTTTTTAGTTGGAAGAAGGAAAATTAATTCACTCATACATTTGTCCTGCAATTAAGTAGCCCTTATATCCACTATCTCAAAACTATCCTAACTACCTAAACAGTTAGACCATTAATCATAACTCCACCACATTGATTCAGGTGGTAATATCTGTATGGCTTCTATTTTCTCTTCTCCTGTTTTCATTCATTATTTATTAAATGTTTACCATGAGCCAAGATACCATGCTAGTCAGTAGAAAGTATACCAAGATGAAACAGACTTCAAAATGGTTCATAAAGATAATAAACACTGGTATGAAAATTAAGTATTTTCTAGAGATTATATATGCTAGTAGGGAAGGTAGATAATCACATAAATAATTATATAACATGGTAGAATGTGATGGGCTACATAACAGAGATACAGATAAATGACTGTCAGTTTTAAGGAATGAGAAATTGCTTTCATCTGAAGAAATCATAAAAGGCTTTGTGAAAGAAGTGGGGTTTGGACACACAGGTGAAATGACATTGCAGGGAAAAGAAACAGCATTAGCAAAACCACAGAGGTGGGAAGCACAGGGTATGTAGAGAACTATAGGTAGTTTCCTTGAGAAGAACCCACGATGAGTAGAAGGGAGTAGTTCTGAATATGATTAGAAAAGTTTGTTAAACCGGATTGTGGGGGGCCCAACAAACCTGGCCATTTCCTGAAGTTTTTTGTATTTGAGATTTACCTACATAGTCTATCTGTTGTTGAATGTTAGATATTTGAACGTCTTTCAGGATAAATTAGGGTTGGGAAAAATTTTTTAGTGGGAGAGTTGATAATAAAACTCATTTTAGAGTTTTTATTAGTTGCTGTTTTAAAATAAAGGATGGCCGGGAATGTTCTTAAATATATTTGGATGTATGATAATTCACAAAATGTAAATATTCCTTGAATGTCAAACATTAACCACATAAAATATATAGTTGTTCTGAGGCAGCACAGAAATAAGAAGACATAACTTGCCAACAAGAACTCTGAACATAGTCTTTCTTACTATGAATGAATCTTTCACCAGTCATTTGGAAGCACAGAGTATCCTTCGTTAGTACTTTAAGTATTTTTCTTGGTTCTATCTGGAGCCAAAAATCATGCAATTATGATAATAGTTATTACTGACAAATTAGATAGCGTTTAAGGTTGATAAGGTTTTTGAAAATTTCTCTAGGGAAATTGATATGCTTGATTAAATGGTAGCAACCTATCCTATTAATACACATTATTATACAAAGATGCTTGCTTTCTTTCATATATGTTGTTTTTCTAATACCGTATCCATGTTGACAAGCCTTGTGCACAAAAGAATTCTCTGATGAAAGTACAGTACTGGTGAGACTTCACCTTCACACTATCGAGGTTACAGACATTCTACTTTGGGGAATAGGAATGGAAATATGCCTATATGTGTGACTCCCCGGAAAGAAAATAATTCACATTTTAAAACAGTTTAAGCAAAGAACATAATTATTTAAGACCAGTTTGTTTGTTTGTTTTTTCTCATTTTTGCTTCCCTTCAAGTGTTCAGGAAACTGATTCTTTTTTTGTGTTTGAATAGGGGAATTCTGGCACAAGGATTTAAGAGAGAGAAAAAAGAACATGTGATAATTTTATGTTCTTTCTCTTTGACCTAACTCAGATAAAGGAACCAGGGGAAAAACTACCAGCCTATGTGGTGGCGCCCATTCTTGATCTGGTAATAGTGAAAACATAGGTCCAAGGCAACTCCATATAGATTTAAGCCAACTTTGGCCTAAAGCAGATCTCATAGCACATATAGAATAAAGCTGCCATGTAGAACTTCACTCTCTCATTAATTCTGTGATCTACGTAAACAGGAGAGAGAAGATGGGTCATAGGCCCCCTATTCCATCCATCTACCTACATAACCAACATAGATGTGAGGTCACCTGCACTGATAGCCAATGCTGCCTGCGGAAAACCTTTTAAGGAAGGTGAGAAACTAAAACAGATTCATCAGGTACAAGCTGGCTACCTAATTCTCATTTTGATGAGGACAACCTGAAGATAAAAGGATAGGGAGAGCCAGTCTAGTTACTGACACTGATTAAAGTCCCTGTAGGTGATGAGAATGACAAAGGTACGTAATATAATAGGACATTAACTAAATATAAAATTTGAGTGTCTACCATGTGAAAAGCAGTGTTGTGGGACAGTAAAAGCATATTAAGAATACATTTCAGGGACATAAAATCAAAGAGGAGCCAAGTAACACTTATCAAAACAAGAAAAATCTTTTCTTTGACTTTAAAGTAGAGTTTGAACTGAAAACTGTTGGACTAGGAAGACATTATGCAGTGGCATTTGAAAGTGAATTCTTAGAAGTTATAGCTTGGTGGTCTTCACCAGTATTAACATGTATGTTTCCCATCTCTTCTGTTTTTCCTCTTATGTCTTTTTTCTTTGTAACTAACTTCACTTTGACTCCTCTTCACCGTGCTTGAGAATTCCAGTTTCCTCCTTTTTTCATCTTCCTGTCTGTTGTGCCAGAATCTGCCTACAAATCTAACACAAATGCCTCATGGAATACAAAAGATATAAGGTTAGGACATTACTACTTCACAGGTCCACATATAGATTTCAGCAATTTCTGACTTGTTATGGATTAGCTTATTTAAATGAAAAAAATTGCAGTTTAAACAAAAACTGTAAAAAGCCTGTCAATGTATTTTACATATTTTATAGCCTAATTGGTAATTGTACCTCTTAGGTGTAAACCACCTTTAAAAATGTATAGATAGATCCAGGAGCATTTCTTGACAGAAAAGCATAAATGGACAGGAAAACAACACTGTGAGCATTTTAACTTAGCAAATCGTATTGTTACAAAATATCTGTTTAGCATCAGCTAAACACATACGAAATCAGCCCCTAGAGTGATATGATTTCCTATGTGTGATTACCAAATTCCCAGTGTAAAGCAAAACCCAACTTTTTCTTCAACTTTCCTTAATTTTTGCCAGTTTTTACTTTTAACTTAGTTTGGCAGTCTGAAAAAAGGGCAGACTTTAAGTGTCTGATTGGTAGTAATCTAGGTGGTTTGGGTTTTTTTGTAAGATAGGCCCTTCAAAATTTGGTATGGCTTACTGATAGTTTTAAAGGAGTTTCTGAAGATCAAAATGTTACTTTTTAAAGTGTTTATCTCTAAGAATGTATTAAATTAGTTCGTTGAAATTCTCTTAGAGCCTTAGGTGATTTTTCTCTAACAGGTATTGCAAGGGCTTTCTGTGGGTTTTAGAAACAACTTGGTTGAATTCATTGAATTGTTTGAGGACAGCACTGTTAAAAGCAAAGCCCTTACTCCCTCCCAAGAATCACTGCTATTCCTCCTGGTTTAATTTTCCCGCTGGGTTATTTAGTGAGCAGTGATATATCCCAGGCACATGTTACACCCTGCTGACTGGATGGAGTCTAAGGTAGTGGTGGCTGCCTTTGAGGAATTCAGCCTAGTGGGGAAGAAAGCATTCTAGGACTGTAAAAAGATGGTTATCTTCTAACATATCCCCACAGAACTGGTTGATAGATAGGGCCTCCCTAATTAAGGAGCCATCGAGTGATCTGTTGCATTCTAATAGGCGTTATTGCATGCAAGCGTGGCCCATAATTCTTCTAGAAGGGTATTTCCCTTATTTTACAGATTAGGCACAAATATTAGATGGTAATGCCAGGATTTGAACCCAGTTTTTTTACTCCAAAAATACTTTATAATACCAGGTGAATTGTTTGTTTTGTTTGTTTTCTTCCAAGTGTTTTTCTCATAAGATTATAGTAGAGAGTCACTTTTTTAAAAAAATGGCAGAGAATCACTATTAGCTAAATGTTTACTCTCAACCCTAGTAAGTCTGTATAGAACATATCATACTGTAAACTTTACTCATTTATTTAACTTGTTTTCTTTTTAGTGGAACTGGATCACAGGATTGATTTTGAACTCAGAGAAGGCCTTGTGGAGAGCCGCTACTGGTCAGCCGTCACGTCACACACTGCCTACTGGTCGTCCTTGGATGTTGCCCTCTTTCTTTTAACCTTCATGTACAAACATGAGCACGATAATGATGCAAAACCCAGTTTAGATCCAGTCTGAACTCTTGAAGCCATTATGGCCCAAAACTGATTTTTTTTTCTGTTAAAATGTGTGTCAAGATATGGAGATATCAGGGTTAAGAATGTTTCAGTTTTGTTTAAGGCAAGAAATAATTTAAAAGCACTTTAGTATTTTTTTTTAATGTTTTCTGTCCTAAGGAAGTTATTTACAGTTTCTATCATTTTGACTGTGAGTGGGACAACCTTTTTGCAGAGAACGAAGCAAGACCTGGAAGTGAAGAAGGTTTGGGTCAACTGCATGGAAAGGTTAAAATCGCAATCTAATTTCTCCCAAATATGAAGGCGTATTAATGGGTTAAATCTAATGTATTAACCACAATATGTTGTAAATCTAAAATGGTCAATGTCCAATGTGTTCTATGTAAAGATCACAAGGTGGTATTATTGTTTTATATTTCTGTGAAAGCTTCCATTTCCACAATTCCTTTGAAAGAAGAATGTGACATTTAAAATGGTTTTGAGTTTAACTTGTTTAGAAAAATTAATGCTAAAAAAGAAACAATATTTGAACTACTGTATTTATAATTTATTACCAATAATTGCTTTATTTCAATGTGTGAAACATTTTTTAATGTTTCCTTTGAACATAACTCAAGAAGCACATTTATTTTCTGTAGTGTTGAGACCCTTTTTTTCTCAGAACTCCGTCTTTGTGCTCTTCAGATGAATATACAGACACTGTGGCATACTTTCAGTATTTTTTTTATTCATTAAAAAGTTGTGGTTTCATACAAATAGCACTATTTCAATCATTTTTTAATAATGAACAGTTTATTATGTCACATGTACCTCAGAGAAAGCTAAATTTTTCTAAAGTTGACACAGAGTACTCCATAATGCTACATTCCATTAACTTTATTAGAATATTAGTAAACGTCTTTGGAATAGGGAATATGACAACTACTTTAAATGTACAAATATTTGTGTGCCAAACAATTAACATATATGAAGGGATGGAGTGCCACTAACAAATTTTAAAGTGTTTAAGAAAACATTGAGACATAAGGTACCATAAATCAGGATTCTAGGGCACTGGAAGGGTCTTTCTCAGCTGTAATTGTTTCCACAGTGCTTTTCATCTGAGGAGCTCAAAGTGCTTTAAAAAGAGGGGTACATTAAATAATGTATGTAGTAGCTCCTTGAGGTAGGTAAATGAGTGTTATTCTGTATTACATGTTAATACACCAAGGCACCAAAACATTTAAAGTGCCTTGCTTTAGATTGCATAGCAAATCAGAAAAGCTTGGATTGAAGCCAGACCGTATTCTTCTATATGTTGTCCCATGACTAATAATTCACGTGACCTCTTAGTAGTTTGAAAACAGTAGTAACAGAAGTTGCAATTCATAATTTGGAGAAATGACCATGAAGCCAATGTTATCCTCTTTGACCTATACATTCTTGGGTTCTCACACACAAAGGAGGAGTTACTTAAAGGGGATCAGTAGCCATCTCTGCCACAACCAACCCTTACTTCTGAATGGCTTCCACTAGGTTCCACTTAAGGTGCTGTCTTTGCTTATCTTGCAAGGAATTTTTAGCTTCCCAGTAATCTTTGTCAAACTGGAAGCAGAGAGGGTCAGTTGCACATCTCACCTGCTCCTTTCTTGATAAGATAGTACAGTCTGTGGCTTACTTGTAGGTTTTACTTGTCACCACCAGTACTGTTGGCTGTTTTGGCCTTTCATTGAATTTGCACAACAGAAAGCACTTCATTTTAGTGTCTTAAAAATCCCAAGGCTCCATGACCTAGTACATGACTCACTAAGAAACCCTTGCTATAAAAGGCTTTTGATGAGATCTTAGCAAAGCTGAAGCAATCTCTTTTGAATTTAGAGATTCCTATAAACTCAGGTCATTTTCATAGCCTGTTTATTTTGTAGATCTAATTTAGTTCTCAGGAAAATTAAACTCATGTCATATGATTTATCATTAAAGGTACTTGTGCATATGTTGCTGTAGATGGTATGCATAAGAATTTTAAGGGATTCATTCTTAAACACTGGAATGTGAAAAGCCCTTTTTACCTGAGAAGTGTGAAATTCCATCAGACCTTTCAATTTGATATCATTGAGTAAGAAGAAAGGTGTGTTCCCCTAGCCATAGGAATATGTCTGCATTTTTTTTTTTTTTTCATATTGAGAAAAAGTCAAATTTAACCACCTGGAGTATATTTGAATTCTTGCAAAGAGCAACATTCACAACCCCTTTCCAAAATAAGATGTTCTGGGCTATTGGACATGTGTTTTGTTTTCAATTCATTATTTCATCAATAGAGATGGTGATTTTTGTTTTGTAGTACTTGTGTTTCTGTGTCTGCATGTTATCATGGGATGTACTTGTATATACTCAAGTAATATACAGAATATGTGTAATTCTGGCTTGATTTAGAAGCTAAGTCAGTTACTGAGTAACATTTTGCAAGTTTATTCCAGCAGTACTAAATTGGCCAAAAAAAGTTCTGTTTTTGATACCATTAAAATTTTATTCTCTATTTTGTGTACGTGCTATGAAGAGTCTCCCAAGTACTGATCAGATCATTCAACCTTAATCCAGTTAGGTTTCCAAGAGTTATTGAAAGTCAGAATAAGGAGAATGTCTTGGATTAAATCTTGCTTTATTTTTACTTTAAAATTAGCCTCCCTAAAACCTTTTGTTAGTTAATAATTTTATTTACAACAGTAATTTTGCTTATCTTATAATCCATTTTTACTGCATTTTATAACATAATTATAAAATATTACTGGGTTTTCCAGTAACTGCTCTTTTATATGTGAAGCAGGCCTTAGGAATCTTAGGTTTTACTTTTTTCTATTAAACAGCATCTGTTAGCTTTTTGAGATACTAACACTGAACATGCTTCATACTGAATACACTGGAGGCCTCAGACAGAAATGTGTAAACATTCGTCCTCGGTGTCTTTTTCTCTCTGTTGTTTCCTTGTTGGGGGCTGAAGCATCCTAGCCTATAAGGTATTTAACATACCATATCCCAGCTAGTGCCACTATTTATTCCAGTGATGGTACCTGAGCCCCTTAAAGTGAAGTCAGACCAAACCAAGCAATTTTCTTTGTAAGGTCTATAATAGAAAACAAGAAATTGAATTTCTTTTTGATCAATTAGATTGATTGCTATTTCTATCTTCTCAGCTAATAATGAATAAGGCATTTGGACAATTGAGAAAACTAATTTGAGTATATGTCTTAAAATTTTTTTGAATAATCTAATTATGTCAGTGGAGCTAAAGAAGAAACGTGATATTAAAGAAAGGTCAAGGCAGAGCAAAAAGAATGTAGCAATCATATACTAGAAAAAGAAACTAGAATTTTATGAAACAGTGTTGTATAGTTGACTTTTGTGGTTACTCTCAAGTTTTCTATCTCTTATCCATATTCAGCTGTCATCCTGGGCCTCAAGCCTCTGCCAGGAATCTGATGGTACTCTGGCTGAATTTGAAACATATAAATTCAGCTCAGAGTTCTCATTTAGTAAACGTTAGTACTGAGATGATGACAGCCTGGGTTATATATAACCTGTTTTAGTCTTCAGTGGATGCTTGTGATCATTTTCAAAGATCCCTGAAATTTCAGTGTTTGTACATATTTTAGAAGTTTTCTAGTCCAACTCTTAGTTTCACATAAGCATTTAAATAGCAGTAAAGGTCATGAAAAGTAAAATGAGGGATGCAGACTCAATGAAAAACTGAAAAACACAGTGACAAAGGGAAGGAGTGATAGACTCTCTAAAGAAAAATATCATTAATAATAGAAATTTTTTTGTATTGATTATGCATATTCATGAAGTACAAAGCTGACCATTGCCACCTGTGCCCAAGACGTGATGGCCAGATCAATACTATCAGCATGCCCATTACCACAGACTGTGATTATTTCATATCCCCCACCCAGTTAATCCCCAACCACCCACCCTTTCACCCCCCACCCCACAACCCTATGTATGCTCTCTCCCTCTGCAAGTCCAATGCACCATTGTGGTCTTTCCTTCTTTCTCTTGGAGCTTATGAGTGAGGATATGTGATATTTTTCCTTCTGTGCCTGGTTAATTTCACTCAACATTATTTTCTCCAAGCTCATCCATGTTGTGGCGAATGGCAGAATTTCATTCTTTTTTTATGGCAGAGTAGTATTCCATGGTGTATATATACCACATTTTCCTTATCCAGTCATTCATCAATGGACATTTAGGTCCTTCAGTATCTTGGCTACAGTAAATAGAGCTGCGATGAACATGAGACTGCAGTTATCCCTTCAACATGATGATTTCCATTCCTTTGGGTATATACCTAGAAGTGGGATTGCTGGATCATATGGTACATCTATCTGTAGTTGTTTGAGAAACTTTCATGTTGTCTTCCACAGCAGTTGTACTAATTTATAGTCCCATCAGCAGTATAGAAGCATTCCCTTCTCTCCACATCCTTGCCAGAATTTGTTATTTTCTGTCTTTTTGATTATAGTGCCTAAATGGGGTGAGGTGATATCTCAATGTGGTTTTAATTAGTGTTTCCCTGATGATTAGTGACGTTGAGCATCTTTGTAAATGCCTGTTGGCCATTTGTATGTCTTCCTTAGGAAAATATCTATTCAACTGCTTAGCACATTTTTTAATTGGGTTATTTGTTTTTTACTGTGTAGTTGCTTGAGTTTCTCATATATTCTGGATATTAATCCCCTGTCAGATGTATAGTTTGCAAATGTTTTCTCCCATTCCTTAGGTTATCATTTCACTCTGTTGATTGTTTCCTTTGCTGTGCAGAAGCTTTTTAGTTTGATATAATCCCTTTTTTGTTCTTTTGTTGTTTGTGCTTTGGGACTCTTGTTCATAAAGTCTGTGCCCAGTCCTAGTTCCTGAAGTGTTTCCTCTGTATTTTCCCTTAGTAGTTTAACAGTTTCAGGTCTTACATTTAAGTCTGTAATCCATTTTGAGTTGATTTTGGTATATGGTGAGAGATGCAGTCTAGTTTCATTCTTCTGCATATGGATATCCAGTTTTCCCAGCACCAGTTACTGAAGAGGCAGTTTTTTCCCCAGTGTATATTTTTGTTCCTTTTGTCAAATATTAATTAACTGTTAGTCTGTGGGTTGATTTCTGGTTTATCCTGTTTCACTGGTCTAAGTGTCTATTTTTATGCCAATACCATACTGTTTGTGTTACTGTAGCTTTGTAGTATAATTTGAAGTCAGGTAGTATTATGCCTCCAGCTATATATATATATATACTTTTTTTTTTTTTTTAATCAGGATTACTTTGGGTATTCGTGGTCTTTTGTTGTTCTGTATGAATGCTAGGATTGTTTTATCTATTTTCATGAAGAATTTCATTGGTATTTTGATGGGGATTGCATTGAATCTGTACATTAATTTGGGTTGTATGGACATTTTCACAATGCTGTTTCTTCCAACCCAAGACCATGGAATGTCTTTCCATCATTTTATGTCTTCTTGAATTTCTGCAACCCAAGACCATGGAATGTCTTTCCATCATTTTATGTCTTCTTGAATTTCTGTCAGTAGTGATTTGTAGTTCTCATTGTAGAGATCTTTCACCTCCTTGGTTAAATTGATTCCTAGAATTTTTTTAATTTTTTTTTTCTTTTGGTGACTATTGTAAATAGGCTTACTTTCTTGACTTCTCTTTCTGTTAATTCATTATTGGATAATATAAATGCAACTGATTTGGGGGCAATCATTTTGGGCTGGTTAGTAATTTCAGTAATGTTGGTATATGGTGAGGGGTGCAGTCTAGTTTCATTCTTCTGCATATAGATATCCAGTTTTCCCATCTCCAGTTACTGAAGAGGGAGTTTTTTCCCCAGTGTACAGCATTACTGAAATTATAACCAGCTCTAGGAGTTTTTTGATAGAGTCTTTAGGTTTTTCTGTATATAGATTATGTCATCTGCAAATGGGGACAGTTTGACTTGATCTTTTCTGCTCTAGATGCCCTTTATTTCTTTCTCTTGTCTGATTCTCTGGCTAGTACCTCCAGTACTATGTTAAATATGAGTGGTGAGAGTGGGCATCTTTGTCTTGTTCCTATTCTTAAGGGAAAGCCTTCAGTTTTTACCCATTTGGGATAATATTGGCAGTGGGCTTGTCATAGATGGCTTTAATTGTGTTGAGATACTTTCCTTCTATACCTGATTTACTGAGAGTCCTTATCATGAAGGGATATTGAATTTCGTCAAACGCTTTCTGCGTTTATTGAGATAATCATATGGCTTTTGTCCTTAATTTTGTTGATGTGATATACAACATTTATTGACTTGCATATGTTGAACCATCCTTGCATCTCTTGGATAAATCCCACTTGATCATGGTGTATAATTTTTTTTGATGTGTTGCTATAATCTGAATGCTAGTATTTTATTGAGGATATTTGTGTCTATGTTCATCAGAAATATTGGTCTGTAGTTTTCTTTTTTTGTTGTATCTTTGGTTTTGATATCAAGGTGATGCTGGCCTCATACAATGAGTTTGGAAGAGTGGCATCTTTTTCAATTTTTTTAGAATAATTTGAAGGGAAATGGTATTCCTCTTTAAAGGTTTGGTAGAATTCAGCAGTAAAGCCATCTGGTACTGGGCTTTTGTCAGGAGATTGCTGATGACTGCTTCAATTTCATTGCTCTTTTTTGGACTGTTCAGATTTTCTATTTTTTCTTGGTTCAGTCTTGGTAGTTTGTATGTATCCAGAAATTTATCCATTTCCTCCTGGTTTTCAAATTTGTCAGCATATAGTTGAAACAGCCTCTAATGACTTTTTGTATTTCTATGGAATCAGTTGTAATGTCTCCTTTTTCATTTGATTTTTGTAATTTTGGTCTTCTCTCTTCTTTCTTTCTTTTGTTAAACCAGCTTAATGGTTTGCCTATTTTGTTTATCTTCTCAAAAAAACTTTTTGTTTTATTGATCTTTTGTATGGTGGGCAGATTCTATATCATTTAGTTCTGCTCTAATCTTAATTATTTCTTTCCACCTACTAACTTTGGGATTAGATTGTTTTGTGTTTCTATTTCTTTAAGGTGTGGGGTTAGGTCATTTACTTGAAATCTATTTTTTTGATGTAAGCATTTATTGCTATAAACTTCACTCTTAGTACAGCTTTTGCAGTATCCCAAAAGTTTTGATATGATGTGTCTTTATTTTCATTGTTTTCTAGGAATCTTTTTTATTTCCTGTTTAATTTCTTCTTGGAACCATAGATCATTCAGGAACCTGTTGTTTAATTTTCACGTATTTGCGTAGAGTCCTGAGTATGTTATTAATTTCTAGTTTTAATCCATTTTGGTCTGAAAAGATAGCTGAAATGATTTTGATTTTTTTAAAGTTATTGAGACTTGATTGTGAACTAACATGTAGTCTATCTTGGAGAACATTCCATGTGCTGATGAGAAGAATGTATATTCTGTAGTTTTTGGATGAAATGTTCTGTAAATATCTGCCAAGTCCATTTGGTCTAAAGTGTAGTTTAAAT